ACAGACTGTCTATGCACCCTATACAGACTGTCTGTACAGTGGATAAACAGAGCCCACCTGCCCCAGTGTCTGCTGAGGGAACACTAACCTACCACATGATGGTCTAATACACCAGTAGATACATCAGTGGGTACACTAATAGGTACACCATTCGGTACACTAGTCAGTACACCAGTATTATTACTCTAATCAATGCATCATCAGTACACCAGTTTGTAAGGCAGATGGCACACCAGTGGGCACAGAAGCTGCATATCCAGTGGGTACATCACTAAATACACTAGTACGTACACCAATCAGTACACCAGTGGGCACAGCGGTTTGTATATCCAGTTAGTACACCAGTGTGCACAGTGGTTTGTATAACCAGTGAGTACACCAGTTGCTCTGCTGCTGATGAGAAAGCCCCGTGGTAAGTTACGTCAGCTGAACAGATCCCTCGTCTACCACTGCTAGACATCATGAGCATCTACAAGGATCTCTGTCTACTGTCACCTGCTAAAAGATAAATGACCACATGTCACTTGGTTGGAACAGCTCTGCAGCAGGTATTTCCCCTGAGCTGTTGATCACGATCTGATCAGCAGTCCTACCCGAGACACAGACGGCGCATCTCCTCAAATCAGGACATGGTGGCTGGTACCTACCAAACTTTGGAAGGGGCATTGGGGCACGTTTGCCAGAACCCGTGTGGATGGATTTCGATTCCTTGGCATTCACTGCATCAGAAACACAGTAAGATCAGTGCTCAGTGTCAGCCGACGTTTGAGCAGACAAAAGGACGCTTTGAGTCACTGTGCTGGTCAGGACATCGAGCCCCTGTTCATTCAGTGATATATGGTATCACTCCTGAACCTGAGTGGATTAATTACCTTGAGCTTGAACATCAGGTCGGTGGATTCAGTAGGATAAGGGAGTCTGTGACATGGTCCCAAATGGAGAGTTGTGTGCATGTGTTTGGGAGAGTGCCAGAGGTGGATAGTTCCGGTCCAGAAAGTAAAAATTCAGACCAAGATTTTGTTTCAACTGATGAGTTGAGCATGAAGAGTCACAGTCAGTACTCAGCTGGTTGGTTGAAACAAAATCTTGGTCTGAATTTTTACTTTCTGGACCTGAACTATCCACCTCTGGAGAGTGCTGGTTTAACTTGCTGTATTTCCATGCTGTTTTTAAGGTGCATTACTGGCATTTCATATTCACAGTTTGGGTTTGGTCAACCCTACTTTGCAGAGACTCACTAACACGGTCAGAGGCCCCTGGGCTGTTTTCTACATTGTGGTTATTACTGAGTGGGGGGGGGGGGACCTCTAATCTCCTGAGATGAGGTGTGCGGGCTGACTGGAACCTACCCGTCTTAGATGGGCCCACTGAGGCACAAGCTGGATGGCGGGATTCCTGCATCTCGTTGCTGCCTGCGTCACAAAACACACTAACATCAGCACTGACTGGTGTCAGTTAAGAGGGTCATGCCACGCCGTGCTGCTGACTGGAGTGGATAAAAGTCTGTGTCCAAACGTAAGGTTGGGTAAAAGTGGGTCAACCATACAGAATGAAAGGGGCTGAGAAGAGGGGGTGAGGAGGATGATATTCACCATCATTGCAGCGCCTGCTGAAAGACTTTGCATCCGGGCTTACCGTTGGTTTTTGGTTGCCTGCAGGGCAAACACAGGACACCTCACTCAACACTCCTTAAAACATCTCCCAAATAAATAAACCCAAACACGCATGAAGGCTCCCCCCCCCCCCCCTTCTGAGTACCTAGCCACACACGTTTGTGGCATAAACTAAAGTACTCATTCGTACTTTTATGGTTCAGTCATCTGTTTCATTCTTAATCCATGCTGATGATAGCTGGAAACAGACGGTCCTGTTTCAGGAGGTAACTGACTGACTGGGAAGAGCTACCTGAGGGAGGGGTTTTCAGACTGGGACTTCCTGTAATGGGCTGCAGTTTCTTCTCTCCATTCTCATCATTCTGCTGAACTAAAGCTAGGGGGGACAGGGGAGGCAAGGAATCAACGAGATCGGTTTGCAAGCAGCCACTACTTAATGGTAGCCCTGCACTTTAGATTAAAACTTAAGTATCAGCATCGGACAACAGTAAATATTAAACACCCACACGGACAAATTGGACAGGCTTGTATATGTGTTTGCAACATCAAATAGTGGGATGTTTACACAGGCTGATAAGGCAAAGGAGTTTTTCTGCAGGGTTTGCCCACCACTACAAATAAACATGCGTGCTTCAAGACGAGCTGCTCACTGATGTTGTCATTATATATATTATCGAGGATGAAGGGCTGTAGGACTCCAGAGGTTTTCTCCTCGAGGCATTTGATTACTTCATAGAGGCTGGCACAGGGAATCTAAGGCACACAAGGAAACAGGAGGGTCAGATGTGTAGGATCCGGGGGAGGGCAAATATTTATTTTTGGTTAAGTGGCACTTTGAACCCCTAGTTGCAGCATACGGTTAAAATGCAGGACATTTCTAATGTCGGCTAGGTCTAAATCCTAGGACCTAGCCCAGTAGAACCTAAAGGAAAGTTATTTCAGAGGAAGTAAGTTATGAAAGTGCTGCAGTGAGCAGACAGTGAGGAAGCATCCTGGAGGGTCATGTGACGATTACATGGTGAAGGGGAGGGGCTAGGCCTCTATTCTTTAATTCAGTGTTTCCCAACCCCGTCCCTGGAGACCCACGTTTTTGCTCCCTCCCAGCTCGCTGCCAGACGGTCCGGGCTGGGATATCCTGCTTTAAGGCCTTCGCCATGTGTATGCAAACAAAAAACAACGGATGTTTGGGTGTAATACATTTTTCCAGTGAGGTCAACTAAATAACTTGAGGAAGTCAATAGCGGATAGGTGGCCAAATGTTTGAAATTAAATGACCTATTCTGAGGCTGCTCAGTTTTCTCTTTCAAAGTGTACACCTTAAAACTATAGTAGCAATATCTTTCCTCCCAGTGGTCATATCTGAACTGTGTCATTTAAGTGGTTGATATTAGAATAAAAGCCCTTCTTATCGGAGCGCCTCCTTCTGACAGTAAATTGCCACGCCTTTCAGGACCCCTTCTATACTCAAGTCCGGTAGCATTGCCTTTGCCGATTTCCACTCTGTTGCCCCTCGGACAGCTACGGAATGTAGGAAAATAGCCAGCGACTGGTAGAAATATCACTTTCTTCTCAGGAATCACTCAGTGCAGCTCCCTGAGTGACACCATTCCAGCCAAACTTCGTTTTACCTTTTGAATATTGTGTCACTTATACCACTTAGGTAGAAATTAATATAACAACAGTAAATGGAAGAAGAATCGCAATTCTGCAATAAATACATGAGTCTGAGAGAGAGAGAGAGAGAGAGAGAGAGAGCAGCATGCTGCTGTACTCACTGGGGTCTCCAGATTAATCACAAATCCTCCTTCCGGCCTCCGAATGACACGGTAATGGTGGAACACTGACCTGATGGGAGATAATCATAATAAAGACTGTTGCTAATGCGGTAAATTCTGATTATGTTCACTGTCTCAAGACACAGAGCCACGGAGGGAGGAGGGGGCAAACAGGCCGCCATAAAGAACATTCCGGAAAGGCTCTCCTTACCCATTCAGGTCCTGGCGGGTGGTGACGGCCATGGAGCCGTCCTTGCTTGGTCTCAGCAGCATGTTCCCACAATCCGGATACTTTTCCAGAAGACTCATGGCCTCCCTCCGAGAGACTTCATGAAAACACCTGTATTACCCAAACACCCCCCCCCATAGAAAATCAGTCACATGACCGGACATGGAAGAGCTCGTTGGATACTCTCCTGAATTGTCCAGACAGTGGTGGGAAGGAATGTGCGACACTCACGGCGGCATGTCTGCCACTAGAGAAAGGTAGAGGTTCTCTTGGACAGCAGCTGAAAGCTGTCTCTCCCGTTCTTTTTCGACCACCTCCTGCAACATGTGCACTTGGCCTGGAAGCAGATTCAGGGTGCTGGGAAGAGAGAGCTGAGACAGAACGAGGGGAAGTGAATCGTTATGGCCATCTGGAAACTTCCTTATTGTACATATGATTCAGTTACTGCTGCTGGTAGGATGTGCTAATCATTCACTGGAACAACACCGCGATGTATGACTTAAACATAAAGACTGCAACCTGTTTCCATGGCGATGTCCGATTGCATTACTGACCTCTGCAACAGCATGGATGAAGCCCTTCCAGAGTTCACGATTTTCTAGTGTGGGAACCTAGAGACGGGAGGAGCATGTGGGTCCAGCACAAGTAAAATGTGTAGCTATAGGTTGGGTGACCTGATAATCCTTGTCGGGGGGGGGAGACACTATGGGCTACTTTAAAAATTAAAGGCTTCTTTGCTTGGCTAAATAGTTCAGTTCGTCTTGTGCTTTGACTGGTTTGTTTCCTTGATCAGAAGATTAATTTGGCTGTTTCACATTAACATTAGTGACACAGGCATGATTATAGGAGACTGACCAATCAGCACACAGCAAGAACTCAGTGCTAAAGTGAAATCCTGTCGTAGCTCAACGTGTCTTCTCTAACATGGATTATCTGGTCACCCTACTATGGTAATGATTATGTCTTAACACAGGTTTAAGTAACAAATGTTGGGCCTTATAATTTTTCAGTTTAAAAACACTGTGCTGTGTATTTGCCCAAAAAGACCAGTATTTGAAGAGTTCCTTGTTTTTGCTTACAATGAAAAAAATATAAGATCAGGTTTATATTGTAAATAAGTAATTAAAAAAATAGTATATGCTGTACAATCCACAGCATGTAACATTAGACTACTGCTGGTATACTGAAGTACACAAAGATATAATTCAAAAACTATCAATGCAAGGTGACACCATTTCTCAATTTCTCTTGGTCTATAAACAGGTCAAAACTGAGATAAAAATACATAAACCGTACATCTCACTTAGATATAAACATAAAACTAGCGCTAAAACCAGAAATGAACCTGAAAATTACCCAACTCTGGCAAACTACCTCCCAGATGTAGAAACTGCTATAACCGTACTTCTGAGACTTCTTCTTTCCGATTTACTTTGATCAGTTTCCTCAAAGAATCCTACCGCCATTATCACGTTATAAATGACAGAGAACCGCATTATAAAACTCCAGCTCAGCAATTACAGTACTCCTACATCTTTGAAAATCTCCTCTCCTCTCCCGAACCACGTTTGCATTGACGTGCATGGCCTTTGGAAGTACATAAACCAGAACAGTTCGGAAGGGAGAGGCTGATGGATCTGTTGCCGCTTGGTATCACTGATTTTGGGCCCGGCTGAGCTGGGAGTCGCATGTCGCTGTTTGCCGGTGGGTGGGGCAGACTCACGGTGATTTTGAACTCCCCTTCCTTGGTGCGCAGTTGGAATCGAGCTGCTTCTAGGTTTCGGTCCCGGCTGTTGTCATCCAGCAGGGAGACAAATCCGTCAAGGTCGATCCTGTCCACATACTGCATGAGGGGACAAGACACAGCCAGCATCATCACGCCGTTGACATCATGCCGTCCGTGGTCCAGCCGCCATTCCTCACTGCACTTTACACTCACCTCCGCGTCCTTGATGGTGTTGTAGAAAAACAGGGTGTTCCCACACAGGGATGCCCAGAGGCGCTGGGACACCTGGACAAGAAATTAAAGATAAACTATTTGTGACATGAACAGAGGATTTGAAAAGTGACGCACGGGAGCAGAGTTTTGTCGAGGAACAAAAACTGAATCAGCATCAGTCTTTGCAACACCAAGAATGTGTAAGCAGGACCGGAAACACGCATAGGGGGAAACAGATCACCAAGAAAAACTGGCTAGTTCAGTCTGTTACACAACTGGATTAATATTTTGCTCCATCTATGTCAGACAGCCCAGAAGCTTTGGAAGACCCCTGCAAACGTCATGGAGTGAACTAAACCTATTTCTCATGAATAATATGGTGTAAGAAATAGATTCATACTTAATTCCTCAAGTTTCCATTAGTATGATATTCAGTTTAAGTTGAATAATATTGCAAGTATGTCAGTTGGATTGGATTCATTATATTGTTTTTTTCTTTTACTAACCTGAAAAATAACATGTAAATACTGCCTGCTAACTCACATTTAAATTGAAAAAAAGATGGAAGTAAAATCTATTCTTTGTGACGGTTCGCCCAAGTCCATCGAAAACTGACAATAGGCAGTTTTGCGAGATCACTTCCTGGGAGGGGAAGGGCATTCCACTCTGGCACCGTATCCTTATCGTCTCTGAGAAATTTACTGCCGTTATTCATTAACCGAACAGGGCACCAGACAGGGACAAATGCCACGCAACAGGGCAAGATCTGGGACATTACAGTAACACAGATGTTCATTTACAAGATGCATATATGCAGTTTGAAAAGCACAAGTTAAAAAGATGTTAAAAAGATATGATGGAACAACCCTTACAGTAGTGTATGACAAGTGCAAATGCTTTAGCAATTTATTTATGCAACATATTTATTTTTTTCCTGTGGTCTTATCCTACACGCCTGACAAAATAGCAATTCAGAATTTAAGTTTCACTATAACAGTAACTGACACTTACTGTATGTTTGTATAACATACTACTTCAGGGAACAAAATACATTTCTGAAACGTCTTATCTTAATTGTAGCTTCTTCCACAAGAATATTTCCCTATCATGTGACAGATTAAGTTGCATGTGATTTCTTGGTGAAATCATTATTACTGTCTAACTGGTTTCATCCAGTGATAACACAAACAGCAACCAAAGTTCATTTCAGTCGTTCCTAGAATGTCAACAGCTAACCTGAGTGGAATGTAACCACCTTTATGAAGCTTCCTTACCGATCAGAAAGATTTAGAGCACGCGTGTGGTGTCCTGGCAGTCGGATTCCTGAACACACTCTGATTTCTCTATCTTTGCCACCAGCACCCTCACATTTTATCCAGTCAGGGTACTAGCGACCTACAGCCACTACTACTAAGTTCAATTTTCTACCTTCAGAACTACAATGCTTTAAGATATTGTGTTACCATCCAATGCGATATCATATGCTGAGCAGTTTTTGGTAATGTATCCAAAACTTTAATAATGGAGGGTCATACAAAATTAAGCAAGCTAGAAGGGTCCCCGCCCCGCCCCTTTGTTACGTTTTCTTTCTGCGCTAAATTGCTGAAGTGTGTCCATTCCGATGGCAGCTATAGCTGACGTTAAAACTAACGACGCAATCGCTCACCCAGCACACGACGTGACGTCAGAAAGCAACGGAGCTGACTGCATGGGGGCTCCCAGAATTCAGAAGTATATGTAACGTAAAGAAAACGTCACAGTGAGTGCAATATTAAAAATATAGAAAAATAAAAAGAGGGGTGGTTACGGGGGTGGTCTGCTTGCTTAATCCCCTATGACGTTGTATCCATGTGCTTTGCCCAAATGCAGATGTGGTTATTAATTAGATTATAGGCCAGCATTAGCGTGTTATAGAGTTTAGGTGACCAGGAAATTCATTACAACGTGTGTATGGAAATTCCCGAGGATGACGAAAAACGATTTGATGGAGTTTACGTTTGACTAAACACAATAAATATGTTTTTTAAATTATTATTATTTTTACAGATTATGACAATTGTAAATAAATTGTTTACACGATGTAGCTGTCAGTCCAGCGACCCATTTAAGTTATAAGTAGATAATGGATATTTTTAAATGCTAAATGTAAGTAGCCTATATGTTAAATGTAAGAAATAAATAATAGGAACTTGATTGGTTGATTTGTCCTCATTGGAATTAGATCAGTTTTGACTGCTAGTGACCAACACACACTTTTAGAATCACAAATTTAAAAGGCATTAGTTAAATAAAGGTATCAGTGCGCAGTACAATTCACAAGATTCGATATAAAATCATGATATATAAAATATATTTCAAATACTATATAAAACAAATGACTAAAACATATACCTTTTCTTTAGCTGACCTCTTTTCAAGATAACCTTCGTAGTAGCAATGCGGTATCTGTTGACTTTGTTGCTGTTTGGATTGTGGATTTGCCATCGGAATCCCAGGTTAAGATAAGGCAAAGTGCTCCCGAAAACACGTCCCACGTTCCTTGATTATCGGAAGGCGGCGAAAAATAAATTATTCTTCATTGCGTTTTGACAATAAATCCTCCAAGAGATAGATTACACTCCCCAAACAAAACGCATGAACTATTCGGAAAGTACGCCTGAACTAACAAATCTAGGCAATCCTTACTTATGCCACCAAACTATCCCAAACAATCGCATTTAGACGATTCTAGCCTCACATTACTCTGCTCTGATCCAGATGTCAATATAGCCGACGAAACCATGAACCACAAACAAGTCAGTGTATTTACTGACAGCCCGTCAGTCCCAGCAGGCGTTTCGGAAAATCACGCCTACAAATGACCCCCCTGGCCGGGAAACACCTTTCACAAAATACATCGACCTCCGAAAGCGATCTACAGCACGACTGAACAAATATTTTAAATGTGTACGTAATTTGCTTAAAAGTGTAATTAAGCAAATTATACAAATACATACTGACTGTATACTAATTATACACTACTTACCATACTAACCAATTTCTTCTGTTGTTCACGGGGAAAAGTATAGGGTATTATAAGACTAGATTATAAAATTAGATTAGATAGAACTTAATTGATCCCCGTGGGGTGCATTTCTTTATGCAATAGCACAGGAATATAAATAACTACAGCAAATATTAAGATATAAAGATCATTACTTTGTGATCAGACGTACGGGGTTGTATGTCAGCACACATTTATTTCACACCTGTTAATTGCGGTGCATGTACACGAGGAATGGACCACCGTGATTAGCGAATAGACGGTGGGCGGCACGTGGTTTCGGTGAGCCGCGGAGAGACGCGGAGAACCGGCGTCGCTTCGCGAGATAAGACAGAAATGGCAGAGATGGCAATCTGTCGCCCTCCCCCGACTATAATGGGTCGCAACTGGAGCACAATGCTGCGTGCAGTCGCCAGATGGAGATGGGAGTAAGAGGAATCCGACGGACAGACAAGGGGGCGGGTAAGGCAGGGGGTGTCTGAGCTTTGGGGAAACATACTGATAGGACGAAACAGATGCGGACCGATGGGGTATGTATCTCCTCTGACATGTGCGCTTAGTTCATTGTGGCCATAACGTTGCAAATTCCACAGTATTGCAATGTACATTCTCACGCCACTAACTGAAATGCTAGACGTTTAAGCATTTATTTCCCTGCGCCACCAAGCTATGATAGCCGCGCCAGCTGTAAAGGCTAAATCTGCTAAGTGGCTAATTCGGGAAGCGCCGATCGCTCGACCGCCACTGTCTGCCCGCCGGAAACCGGAGAGATTATAAACTAAAGATGGTGAAGGAGCACTGCAATTTAGTAATCAGTGTTTATACTTATGATCTGCGAGTAAGTTCGCTGTTTGGATTTCATAAAATCACATTGAAAGTTTCGAGTGGGAAAAAATAATTATTATCAGTGAAGTGCAGAGTGACAAGGACGGGAGTGAGGGAGAAAGGGGAGGGGAATTGACATTAAAGCAACACAACAAGGAAACTAGACTGCAGATAGACGCCTTCATTTTATGTTTTTGAATAATAGCTAGCAAGCTAACTGTCTGGGCTGGAAACTCCAACTCCGTGCGGCGCTCGCAGCTGATCGCCGAAAAGCCGCCCTGCCGGACCGGAACCGCACCGAACCACGGAGGTTTACGGCGAAATGGGTGAGGATTACACGATGTTTTAATTTTAATAAGTGTAAAATTAATCATTAGCAGGCCTCGTGCTGCGGACAGAAAAAAATGAAGATTGCCTGTCAGCAAATCAGTCGAGTTTCCTATACACACAATAATAATTTTAACAATTTTGAAATTTTTGAATTTTATGCGGTACTTAAATTAAGGTAGACAACCCCCTTGTGTTTAGTGTCGATCTCCCACACTTAGGTTATGAAATGTTGGTGCTGTACAGGTTACATTTAACAATGGTAGATTGCGCCACTAACACAAAAGTGCGTCTAAATTTTACGAATGTTTACAATTCAGTTCCTGCGGACTTCTATGTGTAAATAGTGGATACACCATCCATCCATCCATTCATTTTCTGAAACCGCTTATCTTATTCAGGTTCGCGGGGGGAGGGGGCGGGGGTCCGGAGCCTATCCCGGAGGCTACCGGCGAAAGGCAGGGAATAGCCCAGGATGGGGCGCCAACCCATCGCTGATAGTGGGGATACACATGTGAAAATTGAAATTGCTTATAACGGAATTGTTTTCCAGTTAATACAAAATTAAAATGAATTAAGAAAATATGTTGTATTTTATTTGCTTTATATACAAAAATAAGCGCATCAACATAGAAAGCCAGTTACAAATAACAAAATTTAATTTTTAATGTACTCCATCGTAATTTTTTTCTGTGATGTGGGTTTGGATGTTTTGGTGTGTGTTCTAGGTTCAGAGCCACCTTCATCCCCACCAGTGGTGGAGGAGGGAGGTGAGGATGAAGAAGAAGAGCTGAGTGGGGCAGAGGAGGTGGACTCGAGGGTGGCCCCGGGTCGTGGATCCCTGCTGACGCGGCGAGGTATCACCCTGCGCGTGCTGCTGAAAGACGGCCTGGTAGAACCTGGGGACGGTGTGCTGTCCATACACTACCTGGTAACGCTGTGGTCCTCCTCTTCCATGCTGACGTTTCCATCGCTGTCTGTCCTGTGGCCTCATCCCTCAGTGTCCGCCTGGGAGACACCATAAGCTTGTTGCTTACCCACTCCCCTCCCCTCCCCTCCACTCCCCACCCTCATGCTTCCACCATACCTAGAGCTTTTTAAAAAGTGTATTTTCCCTTAAATGAGTGCATTCATCCCAATCTCATCCATCGTAACGCTTCTCTTTAATAAAATGCTATGCGACACAGTAACTAAGATTTATTAATTCAGTTAGCATTTGTTGTTATAAAAACCAGTATTAAACACCTCACACTTTACCCTTCTCTTCAGTATTACACAGCTTCTCAATTCGGGATAATTACACTAGTGGCCAAAGTTGTGGAAACACTTCCAATTTTATAGATTGCAGAACTTTATTCCAGTTACCTATTTAATCATCCAATGTATGACATTTGTAAACATGCTTTGTGGCAGTATTTGTGCAGTAATTTTTAAAGAGGAATGCCAAAAATGCTAGGTGTTTCCACAATTTTGGCCACTGGTGCAGTTTAAGGTTGCTTCCGAGTTGCTGTTGCGGACCCCGTAAAACGGAGGACGCATTCCAGGAGAGGAATGCAGGGAGCAGGCAGTCCGTCCCAGCTGACTGTCACAAAGGAGCTTCGTCTTTTATGTGATAGGTTTGAGTTTGAGCTGTGTGAGTGACTCTCCAGTGAGGATAACCTTCAGGGTGCAGTAGTCTGACCTGTAAGGCTGAAAGACAGCGGCCTCCTGGATTTTGGAGAATCACCTGTGCCACTTTGCGGGCAACTGGGCGACCATCAGAATTTCAAATGCCCTGCATAAAAGGAAGAGCGTCCGCTTTGCTTTCTTGTATTTTGACTCAATTTCTGTTCACGTCTCATTTTTTTCAGGGAAAGAAGTTTGTGGGGGATCTGCTCTGCGACGGAAAGATCCGCTGGGTGGAAACGGGACAGATCTTCAACTCGCCCAGTGCCTGGGCCACGCACTGCAAACGGCTGGTCAACCCCGCCAAGAAGTCGGGCTGCGGCTGGGCATCCGTGCGCTACAGAGGCCAGAAGCTGGTGCAGTACAAGACAAGCTGGCTGCACAAGTATCAGCCCAGTGGAGAGGTGGTGAGAGATGGAGCACGGGCTGGATGGGGGAGGATAAAGAACGGGGGATCCTCCTGCAACGACACTGCAATATGTAACTGCAGCACTGCAGGTTAAATAGGGGAATGGAGCAGAGAATGCGCTGGGCCAGAATGGCGCCGTTGGGATAATCACTCTGTGTTATCGTCTAACTTCTTGTTTCATTTTTCTTTCAGAGTCTGGCGAGTGAAGGCGATGATGAAGAGATGGGAGAAGAGGAAGAGGAAGATGGCAAGACATCGGAGCAGGTGGAGGAGAAGAACCGAAAGGGCAAGCTGGACCAGCAGGGTGAGGAGGGAGCTGCTGTGTTCCCTGCAACCTCCCTGGCAAAGAGACGTTTACTGCTAAATAATCGGCGCGTTAGAGAAAGTCAGAATAGTTTCATCTCCTCGTCATTTTTGCTCACATGTCTCCTGAAGTGGCATGGCGGCGCTGAGTGTAGCATCCCATCTCCACGCGTGGATGTTCTGCTTGCGTGTGGATTTTGCATATTCCCAACTAATCGTTGCTAAGTAGCACTGTCTGCTACGTGCGCGGCTTGAGTCTCGAGCTGCGAGAGCCGTGGTGACCCTCCAACCAGGCTGACGTTACTGTGTTGAGCAGGTATCTTCCCACAGTCCAGAAACACGCGGTTAGCTGAACAGGCATTTCTAAATCGCCCATAGTGTGTGACTGTGTGTGTCTCTACAGAAGGATTGTTTCTTTGTGGAATCGATGTGTCTGACCTGTGTGCTTTATTCCAGAGATCAGTCTATTACAGCGCAGGGGGGATAGAGAGAGGCTGCCAGTTCGATACTGCACACTGGGAACTCGGGACTCTGCAAGGTCAGTGAGCTGGGATTTATGCTGTCAATTTACAGCCATCAGCAGAGGGATTTTTCACTTATGATTCGGGGGGGCTTTGAGTAACTTTGTCCCAATATATTTTCAGTTTGTGGATTCCAAACCTATCTGTGTAGTAACTGCAGATGTTTTATCCATTTCTCAGGGACCCTCACACTCTGGTTGAACTCTCTGCATTCTCTGCCATCAACCGGTTCCAACCCTTTAACGTTGCCGTGTCGAGCAACGTGCTGCTGCTGATGGTGAGACGGCCATCGCGCTGTGGGGGGTGGATGGGTAGCCTGGGGCTGAAAGGAAACGGAGTGATGTGGGACTTTACTTTGCCCCCCAGGACTTCCACTGTCACCTGACCACTAGCGAGGTGGTGGGCTACCTCGGAGGGCGCTGGGACACCAACACACAGCGTGAGTCTTCCAGTGCTGAGCCCCCCCCCCCCAAACCTGAAGAGGAAGCTGTATGCCGACAGAAATGCTCACGTTCGGTTATTAGCAACCTTGTTAATGTTTGACTTAGTAGCAGCTGGTGGCTAAAAAATTGAGGAGGTAGGATAAAATAAGATAATACAGTAACACTTTACTTAAAGTACTTATAACACATTATAGGTACCTTCATAATGCATTATAATGCATTCATAAAGCATTATAAGCATGCCTATAAATATCTATAAAAATGCCCATTATAGCCATGTGTATTATGCATTATGAATGCTCTATAAATACCTTTATAATGCATTGTAGTGACTTATACTGACATTATAATGCATTATGAAGGTATCTATAATGCATTATAACTGCTTTAAGTGTTACTGATAATACATTTTAGAATATTACAATAGTAATAATTACAAAAAGTGGTGATTTCACACTTATTTCGTAATTTAATCTCAAAAGTAGAGGAGTTACTACCCCCTCTAACTCAATGTACTGGCCGTCTCTGCTTTGCTCCCCACTGCTTCTGCCCTAATAAGGCATCTTCTCCCTTAGTGTTGACAGTCCTTAGGGCATTTCCATGTCGCACCCGGCTGGCAGACCGAGATTCTGCACCTGCCGTTGAAGAAGAGGTATGGAGACGCACGTCCAACCTGCACACTAACTCGGACGGTGTTTTACTGGCAGATCGAAAGTATAATAAATCATTCATTAAAGCCTAAGGCCGTCCATTAGGGCTATAGCAACACATGGATTCTTACTGGGCGGCTGTGTAGCTCAGAGGCGTTCGGAGGTCTGTGAATCCATGTGGTCGGCCGTTCGGCACTTGAACAAGGTCCTTAGACCCAAATTTTCTTCACTAGTATGTCGCTTTGGACAAAAGTGTCTAATAGATAAACATTGCAATATACATAATATAAAAATGCTATGAAATATTATTTTTAGATAATACATGTAATATATATCTAATGCAAAATAAATATTGATACATCATGAATCTGTAGGTGACAAGGAGACTCATATTTGCATAGAAAAACAACACGAACAACTAACGGCCTAGATGATTATCTGTAAAGCAGTTTTAATTTAGGGACAGCTTTTCTTAAATTCCCCTTCCAAAGGCTTACTGTATGCCCTATAACAGTGTTTCCTAATACGGTCCTCGGGGACCCGCAGACGGTCTGTGTTTTGTTCTCTTTCACAAAAATGTGGACTGTCTGCATGTTCCCGAGGACCGCACTGGGAAACACTGCTCTATACCCTTATCTGAATCTGTCAGACACTGTCAGACTCCCTTACTGTGTTTCCCGCCTTTTGTATGATAACTTGCCTGTAAGTCACATGTGACCCCCCCCCCCCCCCGTGACATTTCAGATCTGCCAGAACCTGTTTATGCGGGGGCTGTCGCTGGTGGGCTGGTACCACAGCCACCCGCGGGGCCCGGCCCTGCCATCGCTGCAGGACATCGACTCCCAGATGGACCATCAGCTTCGCCTGCAGGGCAGCAACAACGGCTTCCAGCCCTGCCTTGGGGTCATCTGTGGTCAGTGTGGAATCGGGCAACTAATGTAACTGGATCGTGCGGCGTGAGGCCGACCCAGTGTCACTGTGATGTCATTTTCCTTCATGTGTTATGTCATAGCTGTAGCATTTACAGGAAAAAAAAACCTTTACTAATGTTTCCCAACGGTATTTTGAGAGAATACAGCCTTTGGAGGGTCTATTTTAATATTTGAGCGTCTCGTCTTTATTTGCAGGTCCATATTACCATGGCAACCAGGGTGTAGCATCCACCATAACGCCTTTTTGGGTGGTGCCTCCACCGGAGGTGCAGTAGATCAGTCTTACAACTTGCTCAACGCACTTATGCAGAAGCGGCAGAATCTCAGTCATACCTCCTGTCTCCTTCCTTCCTCCAGCAACGACCCAACGACTACGGCATACCTGTTGCGGTCGAGGTGACCTACGTTCAAGACAACTTCCTGACCAGCGACGTTTTAAACGAGATGGTACTCTATTGCTCTTAATGTGCCTGTGTCACCTCTGTCCCCGTGGTGCCGTTTTCAGATGAACCGCCGAGCTGCGTGGCTCGGTTCTGCATGGACGCCAACTCTGTAATGCAGTGGGTACTGATAGTGTCACTCTGCTACCAGATGCTGCTGGTGGAGTTTTACAGAGGAGCCCCTGATCTCGTGCAGTTCATTCAGATGTGGAGCCCGGATATAACAATGCTGGACAAAATAAAGGTATGGTTTTTAATACTCATAACAATACTACTCAGAAGAGCACTGCTCATAGTACTCATAACAATACTACTCAGAAGAGCACTGCTCATAGTACTCATAACAATACTACTCAGAAGAGCACTGCTCATAGTACTCATAACAATACTACTCAGAAGAGCACTGCTCATAGTACTCATAACAATACTACTCAGAAGAGCACTGCTCATAGTACTCATAACAATACTA